CATTGCATATTGAAAATGAATTAGTGAAAAATATAAATTTTGATTAATAATTTTGTTTCGGTATAATGTAGGCGTAAACATTAGGAGTTAATAATTTTTTTTTTTTTTTATTAATACTGTGTAAAAATAATTATTATATTCTCTTTAAGTTATTTTTTTTTGTACATTTTTCAAAAATGACGGCAATTTTCATCTAGCCGAGGACGGCAAAATTTTTAATCCGCTTCTGGGCTCTAAGAAATAAAAAGGACCTTAAGTCCTTCTTATTTCGTTCAAAATTGTTATTATTTGATTCTAACCAGCAAATGTTTTCTGTGTGTTTCAGATAAATAACGTAATGGAGACTGTTCCCTTCGTCAGACACCTACCAAGGTATCCAGTAGCTCCCACCGGAACTCCCGAGGACCCCTACGTTCGAGACGTATTCGAGACAGAACTTGACCCCGACACACTTCGTAGTCTTAACGAGTGGACACGCGGCATGTACTCAGAGTCGTTGCACTATGAGTCTTTCTTTCATTATAAAAGACCCTTAGCACTAGATGCCCTTCATGGGCTGTGCATTGTCACTTGTGACTTGTGACGATGTCACTGGCGACGATCGCGCGTCGTGTAGTGTGAATGCAGCGTGTATGCACTTGTGAGAGTTGCGACCGACCGACCGTATAGGGTGAAGGAGGAGCTAAGCGCTCCTAACCTCCACGCGCCGCGGCAGAGTAGGGTCGATGTTATTTGTTGCCTCTTAGCTTACAAGTTTTGCAAACTCTACGTTTAGTCCTGAGAAGGACTAGTTTTGATGCAGGCTGTTGATTTGGGCAGAAGGACTGGCTGTGACCAGCGGTGACCAGCTATGACCGATGATGACCGGCTGTGACCGATGTTGACCGTCATGGAGGGGATGGTCGGATGGACGATGACGTCGTTGTCGGCTCGGGCTGCTTGGCTGTCACATGACTCGTGAGAGTGGAGTGACACGAATGCCGATCACTTTTTTGTCCAACTTGCAAAGTGGAACAGTCAAAAGTCAAAAGAAAAAAGTCTAATCACTTTTCTATTCCCACTTATAACAAGTCAAACAGTCAAAAGCTGATTCAATTAATGTCGAAAGGCACTTATACTAGTACTCTGAACTCGACCTTTCCTCTTGCAGGCACGACTTTTCAATGGCGACGCGCCACCTGGCGGCCGAGTCGGAAGTTTGATCGCTTATATAGGAAGCGAGTGCGTGCTGATTGGCTGATTCCGCGAGGTGGAGACGAGTGCAGCAGTGCACGACGTTTGAGTGGGGACGCACGCAGGGGTCTCGGCGTTAGTGGGGATAACAAAGTGCGCGGCACGAGATCGGGATTCGAACCGAGAGCGTATTGTGACTCGACAGTTTCCCCTTGGACTTCGTCACGTGAGTACCCTTACGGTCATTGGACGTCACTTTGCGGCGATTGTTGATATTGTCTTGGCAATTAAACTCGATTGAGTAGTAATTTAAGAATCTTTGCAAATTAATAGAAGAATAATGAACTTGGACATTAATTGAATAAATGAGTGACTTCGATTTAACCTAACTTCCTCTTGTGGTCATTTCGCGAACCTTTCCAACCTTTTCAGCACGGATTCGTCGACGCTCGAGGTGCACTTGGTGGAAGGCTCGACCCCCTTTTGAGGTAAGACGACCTAATAGGCTATCCGGAGCCTCAGTAACAAATAATTAGACTGCAGGGCGAGCACAAGCTACGGCCCAGACCCTCGCACGTCACAATAGTTATAATTATGTAAATGAAGTGTACATAAAGAGTATATGAATTTCGATTCGAGATTTTCGATTTCTGCGATATATTCGATAAGCTTGATTTTCACAGTACATTCGATAACCTCGATGATCGTGGTTATGTTTGTTATTCACGATGTTCACGGTGTTTTTGGGTTCTACGATTCATCAGCCATGCGGGAAATTTTCAATTTCGACGTTAGATAATCATATACCATATACCATAGTATATTTTGCACCTAGGGAGTGAAAAACTGGAAAGTCTCAGAGCACGTGTAATTTATCATCCGAGGCGAAGCCGAGGCTGATAATCACGTGCTCTAAGACTTTCTTTTTTCGCTACATAGGTGCAAATACAATTTTTTGTGAGTCCCCCGGCCTAAAGTAACATTTTCATTTTGCTCAGCGGGAGTAAAATGTTACTTTATGTTGGGGTGGCACAAAAAAGGTATTTGATGAATCTTTGAATTTCAATTACCTACTTTACATTGAGAAAAAAAGCATGTTTGATAAAGATAGCCAAAAACCAGCTCAATTAATTTTTGAAATTTTGGTATCAGGCATCATGGGTGCTCGGAAATAGTAGATTACGCAACGAGTGCGACGTTTGCCGCCCAAGTGCAGCGAGGGTAGCAGGAGCAAAAGTTGGAACACCTACTCCGCACGAGTTGAGTATACTATTTTTTGATACAGCTGTGGAAAGTTCGTTATTCCTCACGTTGTAGGCACAGCACCGGGTTCTTTTACTTCCGAAACATTCTACTGACTGCAAAAAACGAACTTTCCGCACGCTGTATCAAAAAGTTCATTTTACACTCGAAGAAAGAACTTTTTAAAACTTGTCTCCTCAAACACTACTATTTTTATTAGCATTTTTGTGACATTGATTGCTTCAAATTAATACTGATAGTTAGAATAACCAAGTTTCAGGTTTAAAAAAACATATCGATAGGAAAAACCCATCTTCTGTACCGCAGTTGAAGGGTCAATCACCAAAAAATTTAATCTTAAAATTTTGTCAACTCATCCGCCATGTGAAGCTTGTAAACAACATAGTTTTCACTTGATAAAAAAATGATAAGATTTTTAAAGCGTTGTCGAAAATTTCGACTAATCAGTATTTACGAAAAATCAAAATGTGAACAAAGCAAAATAATTGAAAATTAAATTGAAGGTATTTATTACAATATTGATAAATTTTATGCTTTAAAAAATAAATATACTCAAAAAGATTACCGTCGAAGAAAGAACTGAAATTGAAACGATAACTTAAGTTGCTCATTTTGTACAAAAAATCACATTAATCTAAATTTGAAAACCTTTAATTTAATAATATCGAATATACGACATGTATAATGGAGTGAAAGGTATTTGAAAATTTCATAAATAAATATTGATTTGTGCATTTTACTACTCTTATATTAATCATTATATAGGGCATACATCGATGGTGCAATAGCATTTACATACACACATGAAATAATGATATAGCGAGAATCCGAGATATTTTTGATCGAGTTATGAGTACAAGTATGAGTATTTTATACAAATAATAGATGTTCAGTAGGTCTGGTAACAAGAAGCAAATGAAGAAGACAAAAAAAGCGGCGAGACAACGAAATGCCATGTATACTTTGTAAGTTGCGCGCGCCTCAAGTGGCTTGGCTGCTGGCCGGCGAACAAGCGCGTGTCCAAGGCATGACAGAAGCTTGAGAAAAAGCCGCTTCGAGATTGATCTCACGTGATTAGCACGCGTATAGCGCCGTTACATATGTTTCCAACACTAGTCAGCTACTCTCAATATACAGTAAGATATATAGAATCAGAACGAAAATTTATAGCTCTGATATTAACCTTCTGCAAAAGAGATGCTGATTACTTGTATGTGCACTAGCCACACACATACCGATTCTTTTCTTGATCGAGACCTTTTTTATGTTTTACGCCAGATAAATGGGAAGCAACAATTAAAGGCTTATATTGTTCGTCTCAAATTCAGCTTTATTCGACACGCAGTGTATACATTTTCGAATTTGAAGTTATAACACGGCACTGACAAAGTGGCGAAATTCTTAATGTAAATGTACAGTACGCCTGCACTAATATAAACTTGGACGTTGCAGTTGCTGAATTGGACTAAACACTCACACATAGACACGTTTATAGAAAGAGGTAGAGATACCGTAAGCAAGTTGGAAAATGTATAAAGTTTAAGTCGTTGAATAAACTATATGTCGTTAACATACGGAGTTATGGATTACTAACTGGTAAAGGCCACTTTGGTATAAAGTGAGAAAAAAAAGATTAGAGCTACTGTTGGCGTGTCGCAAAGGTTTATTTACTTTTATTATCTTCTGTCAACGTAGACGTTATATTTTCAAGTGTACTATCTTTAATAATTGCAGTTAGCTGGAATTATTTTTTCTCTCCTGGAATAATTTTGCCTCAAAAAAATCGAAAAATTAAAATCTATCAAAATATCGGAAAATATCTTCCACCCCGATGAAAACATTATTTGTGTGTTGAAAAAAAATCACTAACAACAAATGGAAAATATATCTCGATTTTTCATAAGATCATAATTATAATAATTGAAACTAAATTTAAAATTATTCGAAACAACATTTGTAAGGCCTAAATATTTTTCAAGTAGAAAGAAAGTCGGCCGATAATTGAGAGCTCAGGGGCAATCTTGATTGGCCGAACGTTTCAAACTTCACGTACGCAATTAATGTTTACATTGCATGCATTTGCGTTTGAATACTATGCTAGATGAATATTTTTAGAGACGCTTGACTTGAATCTTTAATACAGACGACATTAGAATTAGCAATAATCTAGTTTTTGATTGAGTCCATTATCATCCAGTAATAATAACAACAGCAACAAAAGTTGAAAATATAAAGAGACTGCTACATAACATACGACATCATTACTTTAAAAACAAATTTTCAACGTAAACATGATAAGTATATACTTAAACTTTGTACTTGATATATAACAATGAAAATATGATGCATTAAATTGTACGTATAAAAAACGAATACGCGACACACGGAAAGTCTGCGTGACGAGAGAGAGAGAAAGAGAGAGAGAGAGATAGAAAAAGAGAGAGAAGCGTGTGTTCCTACAATCAATGAGCAAAAAAAATTTGTCGCTTTCCCTCTCTACTCGATTCGTAACAGCTGTTGGGCTATATGTGTGAGTATGCAGCATGCGAGACGTTGACCGTTGATGAAGCAGTCGAGGCAACACAGTCGACACACGCGATGGTCCAGTTAATCGTAGGCACAGATACCGATGATCTCGAGCCCGAAGGTACCCAGTGAAAGTGTGATAAGCAAGAAAACAACGTGAGCTTGCGCTCATGGAGTCTCGATATTAACGGGAAAAAAGGATCTAGAGTACACACGGAGATACGAAACTCCAGCTTATTCCGACTTTGAATTGGACGAAAATCGACCGAAGATGCCTAATTATATTCTGAAAAGCAAGTTCTTTGCATCATTTGTGTTAGTATTTTTAGTGCTGCCAGCCGCGTCCTCTTGGATATCAATCTCACCTTTTAGCAAATGGGTGTTGGGTGGCTTGCCGAAGGTTGTGACCGAACCGCCGACGCCGTCACCGTCGACATCACCGAGCGACTGCGACCATCCTGGCGATGGTTGCGCTCGAGCTAATAGAGAGCTCGAAGCCATTGACGACCTCACGCTTACAGATCTCAGGATTGAGTACGTGAAGCAGCAAATTTTGAAAAAATTACGTTTAGACAAACCACCCGATGTTTCCGTGAATATGTCAACCTTGCCAAAACCTTTATTCAATGGCGACGTTTTGGATCTTCAACCAGGTGAATTAGCAGAGCCTTCATCACCGGCCGAGAGTTTTTATGGCAAAACCAATCAAATCGTTCTTTTTCCTATTGAATGTAAGTACTACTTCCATATATTTGTTAAGAAAATTCCTCAGCTCGAAATAAAAAATTGCGATATTGAAATGAGAGAGTGATATGCAAACTAGCTGATATAATTTTTTTGCGACGTTGCACTTGAATAACCATCAAGTTTTTTAATTTTATGAAAGCGACTTTGTAAACAGCACAAACATTTTCCAATAAAAGTATTTTATGTCCACTGATACATTGAAGAAACAATCCAAATTAAGCAGTTATACCAATCTGTACCGATTATATTTATTTTATTTATCATATTGACAGAAGAATCTCAATGTGCCTTAAAAATGCAGGTCAAGTGAGGAAATATTAATTTAATCGTTATACTTGCTCATTGAAAATGGTACTAAAGTTTACAGTTCATTAGATCGTACGATTTTCCGATAGTAGAATTATTGATATCAATTGCTGAGTATTAATTCATGTGAAATTACATTAGTCAAGCTTTAAAAGCAAACTTCGTGCTTATAAATCTGTACAAAAATTGTTCCTTATTAAATTTTTTTCAATAAAAATAGTTGTTTATACTACACGAGTAACAAGACGGAAAAACTAATTGCGAGAAACTCAAAAGGTACTCAAAAACAAATTTGAGTGCACATTAATTATAATATTGTTAAAACGATTTTATGTTTGTAATACTTACAACGTGCAATGTTAAAACATGAAGCTTTGAAAATCAAAATAAATGCTTGCTGAGTTAGAAAGTATATCAAGCAGTGTACCACAATCTCGATGTTATTTTGAATTGTAAAGCCATGCTTGAATAATATATATCGATTTACCCCCGCTTATAACTTTTTTACTATAAAAAACCGTAGAAAGGACTCTAATTAAATAAAATTAAAATAAAATCTTTGCTTAAAATGACAAAAGTCTCAATCTTCTACTAATAGAAAAATTGACCGTACTTCACTCCTTTTTAGCTGTGTTGAGTCAAACTAATTCGTTTGCTATCCATTATAAGGCTCAAATTATCATTAAATTATGCGCGAATGACATGATTTGAAGCGTTGAGATTCAAAAAAACTGGATACGATTCATCAGTTTTCAAGTCGAAAAACTGATCAATAATTGCACAAACTTGGTTATGCGTGATCACGAACCTACTGTCATGACGTCCACCATCCAGTGACAGTAAACCTTGTGTGACGCTTTGTTAGTTACGCACTGCAGTTTCAGCTAAGAATTTTAGTACGCCTGGAAATGACATAATTATATCAAATTAAAATATTATGTGTATCATATATGCATAGTGGCTATTGCTAAAAAGTTCTTAAATGATTCATGTTTTATGATCTGAAAATTAACTATCTCTATAAAACTATTTTCATTGACAAGTTTTTTACAGTTTAACGGTATTAAAAATGATAAATTAATAACGTATGGGTAATAATTGCTCATTACGGGAACTGAGTTTCTGACCATTTTGACTAGTCAATTTTTTACCAGGCGAAGCTGTAATAAATATGGAAAGTTACTGTAAGAGTATAGTTCTCAGTAAATAATTTTTAAACAATAGAATATTTCAAACAATATATATTCGAAAAAAATAAAAATCATTCACGAAATCGTCGTGTTTAGCTTTTTTGACGATTTGTTCAGGGTAACGTATCAAAAAGCTGCTTCAAACTATGTCGAGAACCTAAAGTAATGTAATAAATTAAATTAGATAGAATTCATTTTTAGTTATTTTAATTATTTTTTTTAATCTTCATTTTCGTTTACTAGGCAGGACAAAAAACGAATGCGTAACGGTAAAGTTAACTTTACTTTATTTGAAAGTTTTGACTGAATTTATTGTAGCACGAATACGAAAAAATGGGAAAGAAACAGAAATGATAAGCTGGATCGATTTTCTCTTGGACGAACGGAATGTGTTCGTAATATAATTGAAACTCATTTAATCTGAATTTGCCGTTTGCTGCAATAAGAGTCGTTTGATTTTATTTTTGCTTTCGTCGACTGAATCGCTAATATACACATAAGTCGTAGGCATGCTTGCTGCAGCCCGCACACACATATACATATATATATATACGTAGACTGGTTCACGTAGAGCTCGAGATTGCAGTGTTTGGCACGCAAGACTCATTAAAAAAACTGCATACGAGCTTTTTATCGACGCACGAACGACTGCTCAGGGCGGCTGCGGGTGAGCGGGCGCATGCATGCGTACCTCTTTGACGAGCGAAGTTTTCTTATGTCTTTTGCAGCTCTTTTGCAGCTCCCGCCTCCTTCCCTTTAGCTCGGTACATAGTCGCGTAAACACACGCATACACACATAGAGCGCGTGGCAGTTTCCCTCGCGAGTACCGCTGTTGGGAAGTAGTCGAGTGTTTTCGCTGGTTAAATTCTCGATGCTCTCTTGACCCTCTTGACATATATACGCTCGCACGTGCACTCACTGAAAATAACGAGGAATTTCGTTAGCGAGCTCTCTTGCTCCGCGCCAATGTGCTTTTCAACGGCTGTATTAGACGGAATTGATTAATGACTGACGGATCAGTGATGATAGAAATGAGCGCGAAACGACTGGAAAAAGAAATCGAGCTAAAATTCCGTACGTTTCAAGACCGGTAAAAACACGCGGAGAGAAGGAGAAGGAGTTTCGAGCACGCGTATCACGCGCTACTCGTACTCCTCGATACAGGATGTATCATTATCTTGGCTATAATATAGTGCAAGGGAAAGCCCAAAGTCCCTGCGGTTGATACTACAAGTCTTGCTCGCAAAGGTCTCGGTAATAAACACAACGTGTACGCATCGACTCGATCTCTTGCTTGTATATTGCACGTCGACGATGCTCATTAAAATAATGTCTGGAACTGCTCCAAACTTGCCTCGTGCGCCACACTGAACGCGATACACACATAGACTATTTACCGAGTCCGGTTTCAAACTAATATCGCTCACCTTCACCTCGACGCACGAGTATATCTAAATAATACCTTCTCCACTCGCCCGAAGCACAAGATTGATCTATCCTCCTGCAAGAAGAGATTCAATCTAGCGGCTCGTTTGAATTTGCCCAAATAATTTAGCCGCGCGAGGGATAATTCGAATTTGTATGGTTTTATAAAACGCTTGCGCTCGAACGAGAGCACTTGGTTTTTCGTACGCTTCGCTCGTCTGACTCTACACCGATACTTACTACTTGTCGACAGGTGCGCGATCGATACGTACGTACGCCTTATTCATTATTCTTTCTAGATGCCAGTCTCATTGGAAGCGAATTATAGTCGTCGGAAAATCTCTTACGGATCGAGTTTCGCATTTTTCCATTGAAAGATTTATGGCATATAGTTCGTTGCACAAAAGTTCTCCCATTTAATGCATCCACTTTGAGGCTAATCGTGCAATATTATCTTCATCTTCACCTAGGGCATTCATCAATTTTCTTTGCTCACTCGCAATCGAGAGGGTGTAGACGAACATTACGCATCAAAGTCGCTCCATTATCTTGGCAAAAGTTGCGCAGCTTGTGTCGCTTCGCTCTCGACGTAGTCGCAATGAATAGGCAATAAAAGTTTCGGGAAACTCGGAAAAAGAACTGCAGCATGATTCGGCAGAAATTTTTTGTTCGTACTTTTCGTGCGAGTGTGTACAATGCAAAATATGTTTATTTAAATGTAGCGCTGCTATATAGCGGCACGCGCATGACCCTGATGACTAAGAACGCGATCCGATTTCATCAACATTTTCTTATTCAATCGTTCGGACAGATAAATCATTTTCGATTTCTAATAATCACGTACGCCAGCAGCTCGCAAGTGATTAATTGTCACGCTCGCTCTGTTTTTTTTGTTCTCCCGCAGCGAGCATGAAAAAAAGGTGCCGACACAGCACGAATCACATAACGGGATTCAGCCCAGCGGTTTGCGTCTCGTACAATTTGCCCAACGACGTGCACGCCCAGGTGACCGTCAAGTCGGCCGAGCTCTGGTTCTACAAGACGCGCGACAGGAACGGCAACAACAATCATACTTTCGTCATATCCGAGCTCGACCATTGGGACTTGGGCGGCTCCTTCGAGAAGACGACGATTTTGGCGATATTCGATTTCAACGATAACGGTTAGTTATCGTTAATATAGACGCGGCTAGGCTGTGTCGAGCAGATCAGAGGTGTAAACGCTCTTGTTACCGTTCGCAGAAGGCTGGACGAGCATCGACGTTGGCTTCGCCGTGAAAAAGTGGGCCGAGAAAGGACTGCTGACGCACTCGCTGTCGATCGCCTGCAGCACGTGCACGAATCCCGAGCACGGATTGGCTCCGGTCTCGCTGGAGGCGCGCACCAAGCCCTTCATCGTCATACAGACGGAGCCGGCGCCCCAACGGAACAGGCCCAAGCGAGAGTCCAATTGCCAAGCCGACACGAAGGAGTGCTGTCGCGAGGAGCTGTTCATCAGCTTCGAGGACATCGGCTGGAATGACTGGATCCTCTATCCGAGAGGATATCACGCTTACTTCTGCAAGGGATCCTGCAACACGGCCTTTTCCCTCTCCATCAGCGGCTCTCAATACAACGACGTCATACGAGTAAGCACGTTTTTTCTTTCTCTCCTTGTATATATAACACATAAGTACAGTAAGTAGGTACATAGCCAAGTGCAGCCTGTAAAAAGGCAGCAAAGAAAATGCGCTCAGAGCCGGGCCGTGTCAATATTCTAGCTCGCTCGCACGCAACGGCCGACTGCCGAGGGGAAAAAATCACGCCCGCGCGCATATTATTTACGCGCATACGCCGCACACGTAGTCTCTGCCTTGGCGCAGACATAAAAATGCAGAACTACGTCTTGCACTCTGGGGCGCGCGAGCGAACCAAATCTTGAGGGAGTTGGCAGTTGGGACGCGCCCCCGCGCGCAGTAACTGCATGACATAGCTTTAAGGCCAATGCGCCAATGTGTGGCACATGTCTACTACATTCGGTATACATAGCTCGAACCATAAGTATGTATAAATATGCAAAGGGGTATATATGTATGCTGCTGTGCACACATACACAGGCCTATACATGCACGGTACGCGCGTCAGTCGCGTGTATATACGCCGACATCGAGTTTTGGCTTAATATTCGCATGGATGCCGCTGAGTGACGTGTGACGAACAAGCGTTATATATACAAACACGTACACACGTCATGTTTTCGTATGATTAACGAGACACGAGTAAGCGAATGTAGCCTCTGCGTGTGTGTGTATAAACGTAGAGCGCGATATATAGGTAGGCGGGCTGCGTGTGTCGTTGACGGAGAAGAGGAGCGCGCCCGCCTCGTTAGGAACCGCAACGGTAACGATGACGATCCGAGTCCCGGTAATAACTCTGACGAGCAGTCCTCGCACCGACGACGACGCGACATAAGTCAGCCGCGAGCCAATGTTCAAGCCGATCCTTTTACTTGGGCCTTCGAGTCGACCGAGAATAAACTTATTTTTCCATTCTTACAGAGGCTGCTGAGCAAGGTCAAAACATTCCATCGGCGCAACGAGATTGTCCCGTGCTGTTCTCCCACGCAGCTCTCGCCGTTGCAGCTGCTCTATGTCGAGTCCAACAACTCGATAGCGCACAAGACCCTGCCCAACATGGTGGTCGAAGCCTGTGGATGCATGTAACCTTCCACGCGCCAATGGAGAAACGAGCTATTATTCATTCTCATACTTTTATCTTCCATTGCCGACAATTATTAAAATACCCAACTTTACAAACATCTGATTTGTAATTCATTTCTACGTATCAAAGCGTATTAGAATAGCTTTATATATGAGAATTACAATGACCAAATAAATGCTCTTCGAGATTGATTACAAGCGGAAGTTACGAGAGATGTTTCGTACAGATTTCTTAAAATTTGGCCTTCGACCGGCTCGAGTTGAATAATCGGGGCTTTTTAGACGGTCGACTTGCGATAACACGACCATCTTCTCACAACTGCCTGTCGTGCTTTGACTGATGAAATTAAAAAACTTATTACTGTTCTCAAGATTCGTATGTGTACGCTTGATGACACTTATAAAAACCATGTATATAAATTCATATTAGACTGTCCTTTGATTAATTTTAATTTTTTCTACTTTTCTTTCCCTTAAATCGCTTTAATACTTCAAAAAGAGGAAAACCAATACCAGTAAAAAATTTTATTTCAAGTTTAATTAGCCACTCTCATCTAATGTAATTAAAAATAAATCGTTTGTTTTCTTTTCCTTTTTTATTATTTTAAACAAAATATTTTTCGATCTACGAGCGCTTGAAATATTGATAAAATATTTCCTTTAATGTAAACTGTCATTTAATTTCTGAAGCTAACCACAGAATCACGAAAATTTTGTGAGTAAAGCATGATTTAAATTAAAAACATTATGGTTTACTACTTCATTCATATATAACTTTTGATGACTTCGTAATTCTTGCAATAAATTTTGAGAGTACACTCAATGTCATGTTTGGATTCATATAGTTTTAGTATTTTCTAATACTTCTCCACTATATAATAACCTACAGTAGTAAATTAAATTTAAAATAAAAATATTAACAAGTATAACTTGTCCTTTTTCGACTTATTGAAGCGATTTATGGAGAGAGGGAAAAAGCATAAAAAAATTACTGAACAGTCTATAGCATATATTGACTCTGCTTGACATCGATTTGTTCTTTTCAAATTCTTTGCAGTTTATTTTCATTTTTTCGAAGATATTCAGCAGTATATTTAGAATATCTTGTTTTTTAACATTTCATAAATTTTTCTCAAATAATTCTTAACGAGCTTAAGCTACTCTAAGATTTTTTCTTTTGATGATAGATAGAAAATTATCTCATACGCTGACTAAATAAAACTGGAAAAAGAGAAATCTTGTTAATGTGAAAACTATAATTTTCCACTGAACTTTTTGTTTCTTTTACGATGCACATTGTTCATTTTAATTAAGAAATTGTACATATATACAATTATCGTATTTTAATTGCATACTTTGCGGAACGATACGTTAATATTTGAAAAATAATTTTTAAACTTGCGCACACTGAAGAAAATTATTCTTTGTCTTCAACGCGAATGGGAAAAGTATAATTATGTGTACGTTACAGTGACTTTCAACAATGCAATTATTGAAATAATGCCCTTAATTATAATCACATTTATGATACTTATTATAGTTGAAAATTAATTTAAATTTAATATAATAATAATGAATGAAGAGGAGTTGATATAAATTATTGTTAATAAATAAATGTCAACTTGTCAAGTTGACAAAGAAAAGTTGCGTGAAATACTAGTAATAATAATTTTTATTATTAAAGAACTCTGAACTCGTAATCTCAATTAAAGATTGCACATATATGAAGTATATACACATATATTTATGTGTGTTGTATCGACAAAGTAGTGGAATGGTAGGAGCAAATTAATGCATGTTTCGAGCATAAGCGAGCGAGTGAGCGAGAGGAAAACTTGTGTGATGAAACTACCATAAAACGATAAGTCTTTAAAATTTGTTACATAAAAATCGACATGTAAATGCGTACTTAAGTATTGCTTGTTGTTATTGATTTTAATTGCGCGAAAAAAATAGCAACAAAAGATCATTTTTTTGTAAAAAAAATTCAATTAATTTTCGTGTCGATGAAGATTAAACAAAAAAAATTGATAATTTTATTCATTAAAAATTGACTTGTTATTTTGTTGCTCCTCTCCTTATTGGTAAAAATTTTTTATGAATTCCTGCTGACTATAATCGGCAACCCGAGCTTTTATTTCTTGTCTGCACTATCATCATTGAACTGTAGCACATATCTCTTTGTTGCGCATGTATACGTGAGCGTATGTTTGCCCAAGTAAACGCGCAAAATGATTACCTTAATTGAATGCCAGATTAATGTCATGAAGATACGCATTGATTTTACACATGTTTGATAAAATTGAAACGACGAGATAAGTAGCCGTCCGCAAGTTCGGGGTGCACGCGAATGACCTTTCGTATCTCTCTCACTCTCTCTTACTCACTTTCTTTCCCAAGTTTCATGTAATCAATTCTAGGGGCAAATTTTTATCATTATCCGCAAGTGAGCAATGACAGAGCAGAAATTCAATTGGCTCATTTGTGTATTTGTATCATCTACGCCGAATTAAAATTATTACAGAATAATCAGTGCTCGTTGGAATTTCAATGATGCAACGCTATTTATTAAAAGTGATGCGCAAAAGATTGAAGAATTTCATGAGTAAAGGGGGAAACCGAATTGGAACGTGGCTTTGGAATTTGATGATGTAAACATAGTGCACCGTTTTTACTTTTGTTTGGTTTTTTTCAAGTTAACACGAATTGTCAAGGAGATACACTTGGCTGTTATTAAGTTTATCGTTACAAACGGCTCACGACAATCATTTATAATATAAATGAGCAGCGCTGGATGATTTGCGAGACTCGAAATGTTAAATATTAATGTTTTGTTGTGGCGATAACGATGTAAATGCGATTTTATTATCCTGACAATTCGCCTTTTTTCTCAACTTAAATGATCGTGAAACAGCCGAACTAGAAACTCTTGTAACAACATTTCTTTTTTCAACAATCAATTTATAATGGAATTATATCTCTGCTTTTTGCTGCTCAATTAAAAAAACTGCAATTAATCCGAATAATGTCATGCACTCAAGGCGATTGTTGTCGGAAATTTGCGTAACTGTGTAAAGTGATTGCAGCAATAAGACGAGGCGCGTCGAACGGATAAAAATAATTCCCCGAACAATATGAAAATGACTCTGCAACTTGTCCGGGCGCTAAAGCGATATGCATCGAAACGATTTCCTGACCGCAAAGATTGATTTATCACAATTTTTTAGTTGCTCGCATCTTTAGAAGCGTCAAAACACTCGCTGCTCTCTTATCGTTAGAAAAGTCGAAAACTTGGCAACCGGCATAATTAACTTCCACGCGACACATTTATCGCCACGCTTTATGTATATCAATTAATTTTTATATAATTAGATTGTTGGTGAACTATTTTGATCTTTGAGCTCACGCTTTACTTTGAGCTTAAAAATACTGATGCCATTCGCGCTATAATTTGTAGTTGCACATTTTCCAATTCTATTACTAGGTTACTCTATTTTGTGATTTATTGCAATGCTTTATATTATAGTAAACCGTAAGTATGTACTATGTGGGCTGCAATCAACATTTGCGCGCGCACATCGTAGTGTGCGCCGTGCGGGGTTGTATGTTTTTATCGTCTGCTTGAACGCGCTCGGCGGCCTCATTATCATAGAGAGCTGTCAAAATCAGTTGGATATAAACTTTACAGCGCTTCATGCATTTACCCATACGAAACGCAGATTAAATTTTTTGCAATAGAATAGTGAATCACTACCAGTGGCAAGATGCATTAACGAAAAGTTTCAATAACTGAAAAGACGTAAAGGAACAAGTTGAATTTTAGGAGGGGTAATTTCATTCATTAAGTTTTAACCTCGAATTATGCTGTCAGAGGTTGACGTTTTCATTAGTAATTATACTCTTGTTGATCCAGAGATCTATCAACTTTGGGTAGATGGATATTCTTGTAAGTTGATAACTTCAGCTGATAATTTCTCAATAATTTCCTGCCCTGCTAAAAGCAAACAATATGCAAACAAGGTTTTCATGAGATTCATTCTTTTCCTTATAGCCAGCGATGCAGTTAATATTTTACAACAGAGAGGAGTCTGTCAGCAGACAAATGCATCGATCGAACTCCTTGCTTCAGATGTATTGGACCATTATCGTACTTATTCTCTTCTTGAGAAGCTATTGCACAGTCCGTCAAAATTGGCATGTGAACAGCTTGCCTTTCAGATAGAGCCTCAAACTAGTCAAATGTTAATTGAAATGTAAAAAAAATTCCCTAAATATTACCATAATGTCAATATTAAGATATGTTCCTCATAAACTTCTTTCTATTACAATGTTTAGGTATTATGAGTTTAATGATGGGGTTGTAAGAGAAATTATTGGCAAGAAGCTTACTTCCAAAAATCGTAAAGATATGGATGAAGTAGCTGAAAAAACTGGAACTAGTCTTAGAAGTTGTCGAAGGCAGTTCGATAACATAAAAAGAGTATTTAAAACAGTAGAAGATCTTCCTGGTTCTTTAGTCACCAACATTAAACAATATTTTTTATTACCTGAAGAATTGGCTAAGTAAACATTCAATTATTTTAATTTTTATATAAAATTTATGCTATTACATTACAGTAAAAATCCATAACTATTTCTTTTGTAGGAGATACGCTGCTGTAGTGTTCATTGTATGCTTACGTTTTGAAATAAACAAAAGAAAACTACAGTATTTAACATTTCCTGATCTATATCATTGTGCAAGTAGCATAATGTTTTCTTGGACATATCGTATTACTGGGTCAGAATACTTTGATACAGATCTTGACAGAGAATTTCTTTTGGAACTACCAGAATGTAGAGTACTTCTAGAAAATGAGAAACATCATAAACAGTGAGTTTGTGCAAATAATTGAAAATGTAATGTACATAATTTGTATAAAATACATTATCATAAAATTATTATTTTTAATGTTTGTAGTTTGGTTTGTGTTAAACTAAAACCAATGGTACTGGATCGTGTTTATCAGGAGTTAGACGTGAACTTTAAATTTTATTCAAGAGCAATTGTTGGAATAGCTGGAAGTTTACATCGCACAAGAGAACTAAGATCTTTTTTTCTTGACTTAGTTGAGAAATGTATTGAGCCTTGGAAACAAATTAATTGGACTCATACAGATTTACGCAATTTTCTTGCTGCTTTTACTCAATGTGCATTAGATATGGATGTTTTAAAGTATTTGTTTTAAATTTGTTTTTAATTTTTCAAATAACAATTATGAATGAAATTAATAAATTCATTCTTTTTCTTACAGAGATAATGAGTTAAGAGACGCATTTGAACGTTACATGAAAGTAATAACTAGCTGTTTATTACGCATGTATCACACATGACAGTTGGAAAAAAGCGACGTTGAAAAAGAAAGCGTGGATAATTTGGGTTTCTAAAGTTTAAATAATTCTAATTATTTGTTAAACATTAATTGTTAAATATTAATTAATTTTTAAGAAGAATTGCTCTTAACATTGTTTAATTTTTTATACTATAATTCTTCTTTGTTTTTATTTAAAGGATAGAAAGAACGTATTATATACTGATGATATTAATTTAGTTTATTGCATAAAATTAAAATCGAGCCATATACTATAAAATATCTAATAATCTTTACAGTTTGGTACTTTATAAAATCTAAATCAATACTAAACTGTGGTTCATTATCTAAAAAACGTTTAATGTTCTCTACCCTATACATTAGTTTAAATAATTTTTTCATTAAAAATCCTTCTACTTTGTACTTTCTAAATTTCAAAATTTATCCAGTCCATCTAATTTAATAAATACCTGTACGTATACTGCTCCTCTAGTACTCTAATACTAGAATAATTTTGATGAAACATAAAATTTGCAATAGCATGTCATAAAAGTTAGTAAACATTTCTAAAGTAATTCAATGTAATGACTTGCTAAAATTACGATATTAAATAACCAAAGAAGCTTCTAGAGAATTTCAAGAGTTTGAAAAAAAATTATGAAACTGCTCAAATACTGTTATTGACAATCTAGTTTCAGCACCCCTCCATATAAATTATTCTAACCATTAAAACTTGTTTAATAAAATGCACCTAAATAATACATCATTAAAATTGTAAAAATAATTGACACATCACAACTACTGTATGGGCCTCTATATGAATAATTACAAATTTTATGTCTGTGCAACTAATTATACTATTCATTTTCTAGCATAAAAAAAAATTTTACAATTGATGATTAAAAATTCATTTTCTTAGAATGACTAACATGGAATTGAAAGTAAAATAAATAATTTGAATCCAAAAAGTTTGTATATTACAGTTTATTTTCATTTTTATGTAATAAATAATAAACAAATGCAGCTCAAGAACATTATTTTGAGCTCATTATATGCCGATTTCATTCCTATAAATTTACATGATTGCTTAACATCGGCATTTACAATAACCTCGTCTCCAACGAATCGAAAATGGTAACATAATTACTTTTTGGTACTACTGGACCATTATAACAATTTCATTATTCTACATGTCAAATGGCAAAAAAACATATGAATCAAATAATTATCATATTAAAATTTAAAATATTCATAAAAAATCATTAAAATGATTCAAAAATTATTTTGCATAAGATAGACAGATCTAATTCTTACAAACGAATTTACAGCTTTAACAAATGGTGAATTATCATCCGTATAGTTTTCAATTTGTTTAAGCACAAAATTTATAAAATAGATTTCAATTTTTAACGTTTGTAAATTAAAACCGTCAATAATTTAACCAACGAAAATCGTCCAATAGAATTTTCAGATCCCATGAGTATAAATATAATACCGCGTTAAAAGTGGATCAAATTAGTTATTTTTCAAATAGATTCGCAAAATACGATTACAATATCTATAACAGTGTCGTTAGATAATCGACCTCGTAGCTCATTGAGTTCTCTTTTTCGTTTCGTGATTCAAAATATTTTCATAATTGTTTCTAATTTTATAACTAGTTCACAGATTTTCGTGCAAGTTCCTCTTTTTTTCTCTATCGTGTAACCTTTTTCGTCAGTGATTACGTTTGTACAAGAAGCTTTCCATGAGTGGAATAGAAAGCAAAATAAAAACAAAAAGGCAAGACGAGAAAACTCGAATAATTTGAGAGCAAAAATTGGTAGAAAGGAAGCGAAAATTAAACTTGGTGAAGAACAGGAAACTGACACGATTACTGAGAAATAATTTTTCTGCATCTGTTATTGGTGGGTAACTACTTTTCGATTCCTAAAACTTTGTTTGTTGCCGAAACAATATCTTGTGGTGTTGGTAAAGCTAGAGCTTCCAATGACTTTGTATAAGGCATTGGAACATCTGCACCAGTGACTCTGATGACTGGTGCATCCAGTTGGTAGAAAGCATCAGCTGAAATTTTAATTATTTTAATGAAAAAAATTTCTTTCATTTTTACTAATAATTTAATGTATTTTAGAAACTTACATTCCATAATTCTTGCTGCAATTTCAGCACCAATACCACATGTAGGCCAGCCTTGCTCAACTGTTACAATATGGTGAGTCTTGACAAGAGACTTGATAACAGTATCCATATCAAGTGGCCTCAATGATCTTAAATTGATGACCTCAGCTTCAACTCCTTTACCTGCCAGAGTATTAGCTGCTTCTAGGCACAATTCAACTGCCTTGGAATGTGCGACTAGTGTAATATGTTTGCCAGCTCGTTCAATTTTTGCTTTACCAATGGGAAGAACAAAATCTTTTGATAGTGCTTCATCTGATACTGGATACTGAACACCATATAGCAATTCATTTTCTAAAAAGACAACTGGGTCAGGGTCACGAATAGCTGCCTTCATGAGGCCTCTGCAGTCCTCACTATTGTAAGGAGAAATAACCTGAAATATAATTTCTCAATTGATAACCATCTTCTATTATCATGAAAATCATGAAAATTTTTTAATTGTACCTTCAAGCCTGGACAATGAGCATACCATGCCCCAAAACATTGTGAATGTTGGGCTGCTACTCCAGCAGCTGCTCCGTTAGGTCCTCGAAAAACAATTGGAACATTCACTTTACCTGCAGACATGTAAAAAGTCTTGGCAGCTGAGTTGATAATTTGATCAATAGCTTGCATGGCAAAATTGAAAGTCATAAATTCGCAGATAGGTCGAAGGCCAGCCTAGTTAAAAATACAAGACGTAATATTTTTTGTAAAATTCATATCTAAGACCATGTGAAATGAAAATTAGAGTAACAAACTATAATAAACTATACTATATATTAATATTACTGTATGAAAATTCTACTTACAAAAGCTGCACCAACTGTCATACCAGCAAAGCCAGATTCAGTGATTGGAGTATCTATAACTCTCTTTTCACCATATTTTTTTAATAGACCCCTAGAGACTTTGTAAGCTCCATCGTATTGGGCAACTTCTTCACCCATAATAAAAACTCTTTCGTCTCGTTCCATTTCCTCGTCCATTGCTGAATTGAGGGCATCTCTTACAGTCATCTGTGATTAAATATTCCATAAGTTTTTCAATTTATACCATATGGATATTTTTATTTGAAATGTTAGACAATTGGGATGTACAATTATTTTTTTAGTACTCATTTTTTTATGATTAAATAAAAAAGTATGCAGCCATTGTTCAATAAAATTCAACCATAATAAAATTTTATTGATTGTTTTAAAAACATTTTAATTATTGAACTACTAGCTTGTAAAACTAATTATACAAGCTTTCTATTGTGTTCATTCTTTGATAGTATAAGCAATGCTTACTTCAAATGAATAAACTACAAGTACAAGAGTAAATATTTTATTTTGAAAAAATGACATTCTCAGCTCAGCAATTGACCTTTCTACGTCCTTCAATCAAATTTACTTTAAGGTCCAATAATTAATATTTTTTGAACTGATAATCTAAAGGTGAATGTTCTTACGAAAATTTGTAAAAAAAAACATCATCTTGAACATTATCATTGAAAATTGTCGCAACAAGCATGGATGCTTTCATTTCATAAGTTTTCTTTCATGTACTTGCGATGTTTGGTAACACAAACGCTTACGCAGGTTACGTTCGAGTGATCATAATCTTCTGCACGAGCAGAAGCTTTTCAATGTACATGAGAAGAAGGGAGCTACTGCTGAGCGTACGCAGACAAGTTTATTAATAAAAGAATCCAGCAGCAGCCGATTGATCAAACTCACCTGCTGTGCAGCTGCCCATTTCGACGTGGAAAAGGATCGTTTTGCGCAAACACCTCGTGCAATCGTCTGCAACAAACGTAGTAATTATTTATTCAAAAATGCGCAGAAAAAAATGAGCAGTTTCCGCGATACAATCACGCGATGTGGTTTTTTTCGCAGTTCTCGTTTGACGATTCGCTAAACTTACCGCCAGCATCGTGAGCGTGTGTGTGTATTTGATTTTTTTGTTAACGCGTGTGCTCGAGGCTTATATAAACGAAGCGTTCGTCACAACACGACGTTGCTGCTGCTCTGGCTTTTCTAAATGTCTCGCGCTTTGCCCACGCACGCACCAAGTTGGCACAGGATTTTCGCTCCTTTTCGTACAGCGAGAAAGAGAAAGATACACAGATAAAGAGAGAGAGAGAGAGAGAGAGTGAGAGACGTCTCACGTCCACGTAAAAGTTACCGCAGGTCGGGCGCAGGCAGACGAGCTAAAAGACGTACGTCTGTGTGCGTGCGTAAAAAGCGTCGTCTGCGCAACGACGTGCGACTCGCCTACAGTAGGTTCGTTCGCTCGAGCCACGAACGTCATGTTCGGAGCAGATCTAAGCGCTAAATTTTAAATGGCGGCGAAATAACGTCGAGACTCGCTTAGCTTTTTTTCTCCGATACTGTTACATCATTTACTAGTAAAAAATGATACAATGTAAGAAAGCATTGTCAATGCGTCACAAAATCGACAGGCAAATTGGTTCCATTCAGATTTTCTTAGCCGCACCCATCCTGCGCAGTCGAAGCAAAAGCGCGTTATTATAGGAAATGTAAAATTGCCGGCGAGCACGAAGCCGTCGAAGCGGTCGCTTACCTCTTGGTCCCGAGCACCTTTTCGACGCAGAGCATGAGGTCGTCGACGCGCGGTATCGAGACCGCCTCCAGGCTCGCGGCATAGGGCATCGGAACGTCGACGCCCGTCAGCCTGATGACCGGCGCGTCGAGCTCGTAAAAGTGCGCCGACTCCATGAGCCGGGCGGCTATCTCGGCCCCGATGCCGCAGCTCGGCCAGCCCATCTCCACGGTGATGAGGTGGTGAGTCTTGCCGATGGACTCGTAGATCGCCTCCATGTCCATGGGCCTGAGCGACCTGAGATTGATGACTTCGGCGTCGATGCCCTTCTCGGCGAGCTCGAGCGCGGCCGCGTTCACCACGTCCATGCCGCGGGAGAACGACACGATGGTGATGTCCTTGCCCGGCCGCTCGATCTTCGCCTTGCCGATCGGCACGAGGAAGTCCTTGGACATGGCCTCGTCCGACAGCTCGAATTCCGTGTTGAGCAGCATTTCGCTCTCGAGGCAGACGACTGGATCGGGATCTCTGATGGCGGACTTCAAGAGGCCCCGGTGATCCTCGCATGTATGCGGCACCACGACCTGCGAATCGGCGACTTGGAGTAACGAGTCAAGAAAGTAGCTTCGCAGTTGGGGTATGCGCACTTTGAGGCCGGGGCAGTGAGTGTACCAAGCGGCGAAGCATTGAGAGTGCTGGGCGGCGACTCCGGCCGCGGCGCCGTTATTGCCCCGGAAGACGATCGGCACGTTGACCATGCCGGCCGACATGTACTTGGTCTTGGCTGCCGAGTTGATGACTTGATCGATGGCTTGCATGGAGAAGTTGAAAGTCATGAACTCGCAGATGGGTCGCAGGCCAGCCTTCAAGTATTTGCCAGTTTTCAAGCATTCGCTCGAATGGAGCAATGTCCTAACGGAATTACCATAGCAGCGCCGACCGCCATGCCGCAGAAGCCCTGCTCGGTTATGGGTGTGTCGACGATTCGCTTGTCGCCCCACTTCTTCCACAGACCTTTTGACACTTTGTAGGCTCCGTCGTACTGAGCCACCTCTTCGCCTATCAAAAATACCCGATCGTCTCGTTCTATTTCCTCGTCCATTGCCGAGTTTATGGCATCTCTTACGGTCATCTGAACGTATGTTCAATATTTTCATCAGGTTTTACATTAATTTTATTTCATACCTATACCTATACCTTTGTCGCACGGAAGCTTTGCGTAGTTGAAAAAAATCGATTCCAAGACGAACCTTTTTCGATGCCCAGCTGCAGTAACTGTTTAATTGAGTTCAATTTTTGTAAGGTTATCAAAACGTAAATATTAAGCAAAAGTATCGGTTTGCTCTGCAAGTTCATCGTTTATTAGGAAAACTGACGATTACCTTGTACACTCTGATGTGGAACGACATCATTTACGAGTTGATTTTATTGCAATTTTATCCAAGCAGCGATGAGAGTCCCGTTTATCAAATAGATATGACGTTACGAATACTGACTTTACTATTGTTGATCAATTGTGGAACTAACGCGATAAAACAAAATTATTGCGCAGCCATATTTTTTTATCTTCAACTTCTAAAATAAAAACTTTTTGCAAGTTGTAGAGTCACAAACCAAGAATATTCATTTTCAGTTGCTCATTAGAAACGTAAACGAAATTCGGATAATACTATAGCGTAGAGTAGATGATCCATTAAAGTAGCTCAGGTGAAAGATGTGATGAATTATTGGTTAAAGAAAAATTATTGATTGACCAAAAGAAAAAAGTGCTATAATCCAACTTGAATTGATATTTTGAAAGTATTTTATTTACACAACGTAATTGTTGATTAAATTTCACAATAAAAATGAATCAACGTGTACGTTAAAATAATCAAACCCTTAACATCGTCGGCTTTACTCATTTTTTGTTTGTTAGTTACCTTCGCGTTACATTTATTATTTATATATTTAAGGTTCTGTATATATTTTTTTTTCTTTCGGATATATGACTAAACTTTTAACGTCGTACTTGTGTTTCATTATATGTTTGTATTTCGTTTCCGATTTATATTATTATACGGCTCGCCTCTTTCGCATTTACAACAAAGTGAGTTATAAATTACTTAATAATTCTTGGATACATAACTCTTGCACACATTCACTCTCTCCGCGTGACAACACATCGTTTTCACGTAAGACTCGTGGTGCATACGCAAGAAAAATGGCTCCTAATTTGAGTGCCGCAAAGCTAATGTGACCGAGTAAAAAACAGATCTTAGTTAAAAAAATAATTCAATTTCCCAGTTGCTGTTCCACTTTTTTAAGACAAAGAAAAGCTGATAAACAGTTTATTGTAAGATAAAGTAAAGACAAGAGAGATGCATTACAATTCATAGTTTAGAAAATACACACCCTTCAAAGTGGTGATTATTCATTAGTATAGTAGTAGAATCGTTACGCTTCATAATATAGACGAGATTACTTCCTATAAAAATTGAGTGAATGTTATTCATATATTTTTGTGAAAAAAATACAAATGATTGTTTCCTTTTACATACTTACGCCCATTTCATGTGAAAAAAAAACATTAAATCATGCAAGACTTTGTATTTAACAATAAGTTTATCAAATGAGGAAAATAATGTGATGGGAATTCACTTGTGCTTTACTGACAAGGAAAAAATTCATATGATTTCGAAATCATTTCGAACAGTTTATAAAAATATTGCGGGAAGGTGAATATGTATATATGTGTCTGAATTTGAGTTGAGGTCCTTGGTTTCAAAGAGTTCATCTTTTTTATTTCTTGATTTATGACATGTTAATATGTAGCATTGAGTGATATGTATAACATTACAATCTACATTTCAAAACACAATTGTCTGTCGCGATATGATTTACAGTTACACGGTACACTGGTCGAAGAAAGACGTTGAACATAGTTAATTTTTTTCTTTTAATCGCGCAGCGCCGATTCTACCACTGTAATACAAATGCTTGATTCAAAATGTGGCACATAATTTTCATCTTTCTTAAAATATTAATTTATTAATAAACAACACTTGAAACGTAATGCAATGTCTGACTGACCTCAAATGAAATTGTGGTGCGTATCGATGTTTATGATGAAACATTTCTGCAGCAAGTGGAAGATGAATTATTGATAAAATTGATTCATTTTTTGGTATAATTTAAAATCTTTAATTTCCCAACACATTTATTTATCATCTTTTCTTTCGACTGTCACCACACGTACAATAAAAGTTTTATCTATACCGATAACATTATCCTGCACTCTTTCATCGAAATAACTGTAATAATATAAATATATAATTTTTTTTATTTATATAGTCTGTAATAAATATATGCTTATAGTAATGCACGTGCGAAAATATAATGCATAGTTCAATAGTTCGTATAATAAGTTAGGAAAAGCTCATTCATAACGAGGACCGCATTACTTTTTTCCTTTCTCACGAATCACATATTTAATATAGATTTTTAACATGATTCGTAAACTGCAGTTTGACTGTTTTTTGTTTTTATTTTACTTTGTCTATTTATGGAAAGATTGGTATCAACAAATCGATTTTACTGAAAGAGAACGCGAATGAAATAGAAATAGATTAAATCGTCAACATGAAAACTCCGTTGATTCGACGCTATATTTTGTAACATGTAGTACTTATGTGGCATTAGCAAGGAAAATGTCTTACAATATATTAAAATATTTGTACACGAAGAAAATATATGTATAATCCATGGAAAACTTTCCAAGTACTTACACTTTTTGTTATTCTTTTAGTTCAACATTTCATAAAATATATTTTACAATTTTATTGATATCTTTAGAATATGATATGTTAGTTCTTTGTATTAACGATGGCGTCATATTTTTCTTTACAAAAAATTTAACGTTATTATAAACATTAAATATCTAGTAATATAAAATAAATTAATTTCAACGATCAATTAATCGTCAAATCAACGGAGTTTATATAATATCACCACTGAGGGATACAGTTTTAAACTTTTCTTAGAAGAGAGCAAAAGTTGCGACGAAAGTTTTTTAACGCAGAAAATCGCTTTCTTTTAGCATTTTATTTAGTTAAACTTGAGTAAAGATCTTTATAATGCAACAAATTTACGATTTCATTACGAATCGAGTCAAGGGGCTCGAGAAATTAGTTTAACTATTGTTACGAGCAGATAATTTTCACCGAATTATGCAATATTGATTAAGTTAGTTCATAAAGAAAGGAGATTTTTTGTGTTTCTTCAGCTAGGCCAATCACTATTTAGACTCCCTAAAGTTCTATATCTCTCTATTTATTTATAGATACGTATAGAAATTCACAAGAGGCTATAAATTTTTCTGGATTATAGTTTTAGTAGTTGACCGCTTAACATCGAAAATTTGAAAACGTCCCGTAAAAGTTTAAAGGAGAAAATTTCAATACTGATCGTCAGGAATGTTATGCTTTTAAAAAAGTGAACGCCACATAAATCATATGCTTTGTCTCAAAAGCGCTTCTCTCGTCGTTTTTTACTTCTGTCAAAAGAAAAAAGTAGGTATTTTCCATTAATAAACTATATCGAGTCGTATTACAAGTTGTTCATCAATTAGCAAAGCGATTGAAATAATACGTTTGCTGGGTACCTTTTTTCTTTCTCATTAATAACACAGCACGGCTGATTGAGTGTTACGCTTTGAAGTGATGGGTGTCGCTGTACGTTTTAAAAGTGCAACAACCGCAGATCTAGCTAGTTGGAAGTCGCGGTGCGCAACGGCGAGCGTGGAATATTGTCTTTTTCGCACGTGGATGCGACAGATCGAAAATCACGCTAGCCGCGCACAAAGTCCTACTTTGACGCACTCGTAATATTGAATTTTGGGCTTTTTCAAACCTTACAAAGTAGATCTAGCCTGAAAAGGGTAACGAAAACTTTGCAAGTATCAAGCAGTCGGATAATGCTCACACAATGAATGAACACTTATAGAATATAGATTATAGGTAAAAAGCGGTTGCAAACTCTGGTCCACGCACAGTACACTCACCTTCGCAACTTTATACTGTCTTGAATACTTTTACAACGTCATTATACAAAAGTGCGTCCTTAAACAAGTTTCTGAATAAGCAATATTTTTCTCTCTAATTTTATTATTTTGTATTATATTTACACTTGTTGTTTACACCTGATACTTTGTATATAATATATTACTTTGCTCAACCCTATTTGATACATTCGTCATATTACACATTTACATATAGGCAATATGATTTAATTGTTCTCGTGATAATTAACCATTAAGCGTTGACATGTCCAGTTTGGAAATTGGAATTGTATCAATCAAACCGGTCGTTCGTTGAACAAAACATTAAAATTCGATGAAAAGTGTGTGATAGTAGTTCACAAAATATTGAGATATATTGCATTTTTGTTATAGTCGATAGAATAGCTTAGTAGTTTGCTTAATAGCGAATGATGTTTCGTTTGTTTCATCGTCATTGATTTCTTTTTTACCGTGCGGATGGTGCAAGGACATATATCTAAATGTATTTTTTGTTTTGTTTGATCGAGCGTGCCTTAATTTTCGGAAGACCGTAAAAGCGAAATTATTTCAGTGCCTAGAGCGAAGAAAATTAAATAATTTTAAAGTAACTGTAAACACGCAAATATACCGTCTGAATCTTGTACATACAGAACATCTCTACCGTACCCCATCATTTTTACAAACTTGCTTCGTTTTTTACCTCATAATTAATTTTAATCAAGTGTGCAGATCTTAAAGCTGATTTTAAATGAACGTTAAAATAGCTAATTATCTATTTTCACAATTTTATCATTTATCATTGATACGAAAAACAGTAGTAATATAAGTTCATTCAAATTTATAAAGGCACCGACCGTTTTTTCGTTTTATAGTCTTCAATCGTCATATGTCCCTCTGTTACATACTTCTTGTCATCCCAATCATAATTTTCTTAAACTATGACGGCGCTTCGATCGTTTCTGCTATGTCTTTATTTATTATTTTACTTCTAAAAAAATTAAACTGTAATATTTATTGCAGCTCTTACCCAAGGTGCCACGGTTCAAATATCTCATTTATTATTATATAACATGGACCGGATTCTGAACGACGTTTTCGCTTTCCTCGAGACACCACTTTTTTCATGACTTCCTCAACCAAAACTGCGTAGCTATCGTATATTACAACTATACCATTATTATTATTTAATATTATTATCATTATAATTTAATTATTGCGTAAAAAACTACGATGGCTATCGTGAAAAATTCTGTTTTCGTTCGTTTTTCATCGTTTTTTCTGTATCTTGAATTCAAAATGAAAAAGGCCGCCATACACGTTTGATGAGCGCAAATTTATTATAACTTAATTTTTATTTGATGAGAAAAATAGCTTGGAACGTTAAAGTCTCAAACTTTTTACGTCGATTTTGACCGTCGAATTGGTCTACATTATTAATAATTATTGTTATTATTATAAGATAATTATTGTATTTCATCGTATAGAGATAAAGAAGTACATTCTACTATCACTCTGAGTCTACAAACTCACGTTTATATTGGCCGGCATGTGCGCGCAGGCGCGCGTTATTATTTCGCCTCAATTTTTTTTTGTTAACCGTCGTCGCGAGAAATCGCATTAGAGAGAGATTCATAGAAAAACGAAGTTGCTCTTTTATGAAAAAAAAATCAATCGCTGTACTAGTAAAGAAGCATAGCAGAAACTTACGAGCGCAATAAACTACACCGCTCGTGTATTAAACGCGTTTGAATCTTTTTTAACGTGATTTTTTTGTTTGGATTTTTATCAATCCGCGATATTGTTATTGGTATTTTTTGCTCATATTTGGTTAATTCATCACAATTATCGTACAATACAATACTGCAACAGACAATTTGCAGCACTTTAGTTTTCTAAATATTTATATTTTTTTCATATTTTGAAAGGATAACGATCAAATTTACTGTTAATCAAAATGTTATCATTTATTGAAACAACGTAAGCATTAAAAATCGTTTCATTTAAAAATCACGAATCTATAAATTAATAAATCGATATACTTTCTAAATAGGAAAATGTTCACTTTATATCATTAGGCGTTAGTCGAATGAGACAACGCGTCACGTCGTGTTGGTTTCCCATTTTTTACGTTACAGATGTAATGTGTGTTTATATACACTATATAATATTATCATTTGTTTATACTTTTAGTCTAGACTTGACCCATTTTTTCATACCCTTAGCCCTTAACCGGTAATTCCTCTTTTATCCTTAACATCAGTGCATACATGTATATTTAATTTCCTCACATAAAACATACGGTGAGCACATAAATTTATTTCATTTTATATCCTGCCGTTAATTATAACTACATACCTATCCACGTTTCTTACGCAATCGCAATTGATATTACTTGAGCAACATCTTGGCAAATTCTGTCTAAACATTTACACGTCACAGGCGCATTCGAGCGGCATCCAATGATGCATTTACATTATGGATTATCAGAGATAGAGAGTAAGAGAAATACTTTCAAACGTCGCGCTACATCTCTTGTTTTTATTTTTCGACTCTTTAGTCGGCAAACTTGTATCTGTCAAAAGAACGGCAATGACGCAATTCGAGCAATTTTTCACTTAACGAAAGGACACAGGCGTCTAACAAACATCAACGATCGATCGTGCACGATGTATTATTCTTAACGAACATCGAAATTTTGTTTTCGTTATTCGTTTTCCATTGCATTTTAGTAGTTTGACTTGAACTACAGGTAAAGTATCTCAGCGTCCAGTCACTGAAAATTTCATACATCTTTCGAATTTCGTGGAAAAATTCATCGATTTTCAAACATCAGTAATAATAGACTGATGTTCAAAGGAACATTCTTATCAATCACACAGGCTGTAGTCAAATTGTCGATCGAAGCCTCCTTAGAACCAGCTAGTGGCTCCACCGAACTTGGTCGAAAGGCCGCCAATTCCCTTCTCGAACATGCTACCCACGCGGCTGGCTACGTTCGACGTGACGTTGCTGATGCTTATGCCGTCTTCGCCCGTCAGATTCTCGACTATCGTGACCTTAGTCTTGGGCCTTTCTACTTCGTCGTCGTTACCGTTCTCCGACAGTCCCCTGTAACAATATATACAAGTCGTATATTAGCATCGAAATTGTCAGATTCTTCGACGTGGCTGATCATCAATAAGCTACTGTACTTACTCATCATTTTGCGAGTTCATGCTTAAGGCACAAGTTGCTTCCTCGGTCTGCATTCTCTGAGCTATAGTCTGGTACGTTTTCGAATTCAGTTTGTCCTCCATGACTCCCTGAAGCTCAAAGTCGGAGTAGACTTTCTTGACGACGTGAGCGAGGCAGGTGCATTGAAATACGTGCAAACTGTGATCCATGCGTTCAGTCAGCCAATTGCACAACAAGCTCACTTGGGCTGTGTACCATTGCTGTAAATAAAGAGTGTATGGATTTAAAAAATTCAGATTTTTGTCTGTTAGAATTGATCCTGCATCGCTTAGTTTATTTTCTTTACCTCGAAAAAGTTCAATATCCACAATTCATCGATGACCTTACTGCGAATCTGCTCGGTACTGTTTCTCGTAAAACTAACATACGCATGACCCAATTCTTTGCCGCTGCCTGATACTTTCTGCAAAGTCAGATACGTGTGAATATCGGATTACATAGCAGAAGTATATAAAAATGACTGAAATATCGAGTGGTTTAATATTGAAATATTCACCGTAAAACTGAGCAGCGATCCGATCAACGAACCCTCGTCGTAGCGTGATAATTTCGATAGGGTAGCTTCAAGAATACTGACGAGCTTGTTAATCATTCCTTGGGACATGGCGGCCAGTGTCGTTTCAATCATGTTGTCAATTTTCGAGTGGTATTGATGCTACGGCAAAATAGTAATTGAAATATAGAAATCGAGCCAATAAGGATTCTTTACTAAATACGCCTTTAACAGCAACTAGTGTGTCCTAATCAACCAATGATTATAAAATAAAAAATAAATAATAGGCGTAATAATATTCTTTAACTGGATGAATGAACTAAGCGTTTGTTCCAAGACGTATCGACTAGCTAGCCTTATGATGAAAAATTTGTTTTGCGCCGCCAACTACTTTTTTTGGTAATAATCGATAAAGCTGAAATAAGGTAAAAGCAAATTGCATTGCTTTAAAAAATTCTTTCGTAGTCGAAGCACCATATTTTTTTGGGCTCATCTAGGGTCGTAAATATTGCACTATATCTATCGAACAGTTTCATAACTCTAAATCTATTGCAATTAGCAAAAACATAATATTTTAATCATCTTTTTAAAAATTATAGCTAAAAAAATGAGCAAAGCATAATAGAGCTGAAAGTTTTAGAAAACTTAAGATTTTCAAATAATAAACTGCAGCATGATGTTCAATTCTATACAATTTAAAATTTTTTAATTACTTTACTCTGTACCAATCAATTCCTAAAGAAAAGATCAACATATATGTCTAAGGATAAGGAATCATATACAGGTCCTCGGCTGTAAAAAGTTCGGAAGTACCCGTGTAAATTGATGCGTTATAAAGCATGAAAATGCACGGAAGCTCCACAAACTTTTTACAGCCGAGCTTCAACTGAGGAAAGAATAAGAATAATAGACCGTTACTTTACCAAAGTCCTTTACGCAACGGCATATATCATATACACACGCTCAATATTTTCTCACAGACTCCCTAACCAGTGTACTGAATACAGAGTGCAGAGTGAAAGATAAAAGAATCTGAAATAAAGACTCACCACGTCGACGCCATCGATCGTACAGAGCTTAAAACTCTGGTTTTTCGCGTCCAAGATAACGTTAACCATGGCGCACATTTCCGAGGGTATGATGTAATCCGTCGCCGAGCTGAAGGTCATACCTTTCTTGAGCCACTGCTGGAACGCCGTGTCGGTCTTCTGAATGCAAGCCTCCATCATGTCGCAAGCCATCAATTTGAGACGCTGTTCCAAGTGGACCCTGAACTCTTGATCCGGCCAATGAAGACCGCTGATGAAAGATTGAAGGGCGTCGAGTTTCCAGAATAGATCCTCCGAGGTGGCGCAGCCATTGCCTTTGATCTCCCAGCGCTCTTTGTCGAAGCCTTTGTGGATAGATTGGTCGATGGACGTTTCCATGAGATCCACGTAGCGAACCACCAGTGGAGCGAATGTGTCCCTCAGAAGCTGATGGAACCGCCCGTCCCTCAGATTATCTGCGAGTGCAAAGTTATTCACATTATTTGCATGTAGAATAATAATAATTTAGGCGATCGTCTAAATCCTTACCATCCATTCTAAGGTAATCGTTGAGCACTTGGAAGAGCGGAAAGCTATCCCAAGTGTCGGGCGGTTGTTCGGCGAGGACTTGGTTCATGTCGTTAGCAAAGAGCGCCCAGAAGATCTCGGCGTGCTCCACCAGGAGGTCGCTAAACCAGGCGAACGCCTGCGGTGCAGTGTAGTAGGAGCGTAACGTGAAAATATTGGACGACACACACTTACGGAGGGTGACGCTTTGTTCATGCCCAGAGCGGTGGGTTCGCCGGCTCTGGACCGAGGCCCTCGAGAACCCAGAAGACGCTATTCTCAATTACGCTCGCAATCAACTACTCGAATTTTCATTCACGCTATGGATTAATGTAACTTTAACCAAATCTACTTTGCTAATCAAGTTATTTACATCAGGCAATGCAACGCGAGATCGATCGCAACTTACTCGTGTCCAGTCAGCCAATTCCACACCTGCGCATCGTACCTTTTTCATTAACGGGCATCCCTTGGTCTTTCCTTGGGACTTTCCCGGTCTTTCGTCGAGTTTCGTCCATTTTTGGTCCATTTTGATTTGTGTTCTATGGTGTATATTTGTAATGTGCGTAAGCGATCGCAAATTGTCAACCATGTTCATTGTATTTTCATCAAAAAGTAGAGTATCTAATGGGAACTACCATGTCTAGTCCAGGTTAAAAACTCGTTTATATATGGAAGAAAAAAAATGTCAAAATCGAGCATAACTTTTGCAGCAAGCTCTAATGTATCATTTTGTGTACTAGTTCTAAAAATGGTAATGAACCAACTTGAGAACGAAACTTATCAGGCGGCTAAGGCTGGTATAAAAGTATAGAAAATTGTCTAAAATCGCGTCGTCTTCTGGGGAGGTTAATGGGGACCCTTACCTCAAAGTCCTCTTTAACATCAACAGCAACAACAACAACAACAAAGCATGCATATACCCTCTCACTCGAGAGCCCCGTACATCGAACATTCAGTTCTAAAAACCATATCTAATACCTCCGAATAGTGTTCCTCGTTTTGCTGCAACAAATCGACGCATAGCTCGGCTAAATGTATCAAATCCTCCAGCTTTTTGCTGGGAGGAACGTTTACGTCTCCATTGAGATCCTCGCCAATTTTAGCCTCGGTCGAGAGCCTCTCGTAGTTGACGTGGGCCGCGGTCTCCAGGCAAGCCTTGATCATGTTGCGGGTCTCCTCGGGTGGCACTGGAGTGACGATGTCCTTCATTAGAACTCTTTCTAACAAAGACAACGTAGCTTTCAATGTACCCTCGGGCCGACCGAATGGGAAGCTGAACCTGTAAGTCGGTCGCAACAATTAGCTCGTCAACTTTCATCGAAAGCACAAAGCCGTGCAACGACGATGTAATATATTCATCGTGGGTCGAACGTCGTGTATACCTAAAGTTTGTTATTTGCTTCTCGAGCAGTAGCCTCAGGCGTTCCTTGACTTCCTGAAATTTATCCTTTTCCTCGTGCGTTATGGATGCGACGCCGTCGGGTTTATTACCGTAAACGTGACTGGCGCAAAAGGCAAAACTGTAGTGGATCAGGGTTGGATCGATCATTATGCCTCGCTCCGCTCGATCGAGCAAATCGCTGAGGTAGCAAATGTGCCGGTAACAACCGCGCACCCCGTATCTGCAAGTGAATTAACAAACTCGATTGAGGTTTCGGGCTAGACCGTAGGCCACGCCTAATAGAGAAAAAGCGCCCGAGGACTCGAGCCGAAGACTCAAAGACAGTTTCGCATTTATGCTCCTCCTCGAGAGTCGGGGCTGTAGGACGCTACAGCTACGTTGATTTCATCGGAGCACAAACACGCGTAGCGAGGAAAAAGTCGATTTATCAGGGGGGGGTATTTGCATTCACCTGGCGCAATACTCGTCGAGAACGAAGACCTGGCCCGGCGAGAACCAACCGAGCGAGCAGTAAGGATCGTTGAGTCTGTAATCGAGCGTTAAATTCTGCAAAAACTTGAACAAGCTCGCGTGGTCGAATTTGCAGGGATCGGCGCTGATGTAGTCCTCCATGCCGTGCTTCTTGGCGCGATCCGTGTCTCCCTGGATCTTGCTGATGGTGGAATTTTTGTTGGCCACCGAGACGGGTGGCGTTGGCTTGTGCGACTGGCCCGTCGCCCGATACATGGCGGTAACCCACAGGTGGCACTCGTTCTCGTCGTCCGCCGCAAAGACTACATTGTCTCCGTCACGGACGGCGTTGAAAAAGTACCTGCGGTCATTGCCAGTCAGACAAATGCATGTCCAGGATGTAAAATTTGTGCTCAACGACAAGTGCAGGTTATTATGACATATATATTATATATAACTGGGAATCGCCATACCCGTTACATTGGTTGATCGATGTGTGGATGATTTTGCGTTTAAGAATCTTCGATATGTAGTTATGACGTTTTTTTTTGCGTTTACTAGTGTGTCATGAGATAATATGCAAAATGACATAATATGATTGATTATCGAAGTGTTCGCTGCGCAACCGCAATGAATGAAGGTTTGTTGGGGCTGGCTTGGAGACTAAACGATCCCGTCGCTGCGGGCCGGGAGACCTTCCAAGTGGACGTGCCTAGTTAAACGTGCGATGGTCGTGCAGCGTGCCGTCGTAGAGTCCACCGCAAGGTCCCCCCCGCTCCAACGCTCCTCATCGCTGAGTCTCCATTCCAAACATTGGGAATTGAACAAAGCCATTGGCCTGGCAACACTCACTTTCCGTCCTGCAAGTCCTGACCGGCCATTAGATAAGCGGAATGCGATTCTATATGGTCAACTGTAAAGCCATCCAGCTGCATCATTTCCGACGGCTCGCTTTTCTTTTCTTTATACGAGCACATCGCAAAGGTGTACTGTGAGACTTGGACCAATACAAAGTATCGCTTTTTCCACTTTTTCCACACGGACTTGCCGATGGCGTAGAGGTGACCGCAGTGCTTCATGTTGAGCGGCTTGTCCATGCGGCAGGCTATCTTGATTCGCAGGTCCTGATCGGGGGCGCTTCGCGGCACCGTCAGCCGATGCCACTCGGGAGCTCTGCTCGACAGGGGTGTCGGCTTCAGGAACACCTTTCCGAGCTCCTTGTCTTCCAAAGCCAGCATCGACGGGTTCTCCGTGTACAAGCGTACCTTCACGATCGGCAGCGGGTGCATCGTCGTGAAGTCGCCTTGTGTGTCCCACCTGTGGCGCACGAGAAAACAATCAGCATCGAGCGTATTATTTTATATCAAGTTATGCTGCCGAGTGGCGGCGCTCACATGGGCTTGGACGCTTCGGCCTGATCAGTCTGCAGCTTCTCGCCGCCTTCGACTTCCATGGTGCAGTAAACGATCCGGTTAGGCGCGAGACTCTTGATGCCCTTGACCTCCATGACGATGACCTCAAGCGGAAACGAGAGGGCAACGTCCATTTTGGTCAGTATGGGCTCCGAGTCCGCGGAGTCGTTTACCAAGGAGCTTTGGTTACGGGGGCGGGAGCGATCGCCACGGTGATTGTAGCGTTTCAGCTTCTGCAAACCGTATTTGCCGTCTATCGAACCCTTGGAAACCGGTAGGGATTCCAAGTTAGCCATTAGCTGGTTGATGGACGTCTTCAGCTCCTCGATGTAAAGCGACTCCATCTCCTTCAGAAGGAATCGCGGCATGAGCTTGCGATTCTGCAATCAGAACAAAGCCAGCGCCAAAGCACCCGATGAATAAGCTTTCTCGCGCTTGCATATTCTATCAATCCTAGAGAAATAATATCTTGTCCATTTGAACTTGTGCAATAATAGAGAGAAAGATTGGAGGCGCAACCGGTCGCCGCGCATACTTCGCAATAGCAATTATGTATGCGAGCTTTTCCAGCCGACCTGTTGCGCGCTTCCAATTTTTTCTATACTACACAGCTGGTGTTGTTGTATCGTATATTCGCGCGTGCACCTACGATATGCGATTATAATAAAGCCATATATTAAACGGCTAAATGTGTAAATGCAATTTAAATCTTTTCTTTTTCGTTTCTTTCGACCAGCCGATAAAACTGAACGAGACTCGAAACGATCTGAACGTTCAATTCTCTCGTCGGGCCGTCCTTCACATTCTAGCAATGTGTCAAATACTCTCGATTCTTTGCTGCGGAAAAAAGCTTGCACTAATCATCTAATGCCGACTCTAGAGTCGCTATGAAGCCTTGAAAATCACTATAATAATAAGCTCGAGTATTGTCAATATCATTTCGTTTTACTGAAATGGCCAAGTCTAACACCGATTAACATCTACTTGGTGTTGTATAATGCATATATAAAAGTTGTGTTATAATCAAGCACTTTGAATAATCAGAATAACATAATTGTAATAGTTAGTAGTAGTTACACGCAATATATGTTTTAATAATAATAACATGAAATTATTGAGAGGAGTAAGAGTTCTGTGATAAATTTGAATATATAATTCTCAATGTATTGCACTGATGATTATATGAATCTAATGTAGCATTAGTAAAGTTAGGCCATGATTAAAAGCTTCCATTTTATGAGTTTTAGAGTGCACAATTGTACATATATGGTGTAGAGAATATATAAGATAATACATATGTATGTTAAAGAGTTCCACTGAGAAAGAACACGTATAGTAGAGTATATAATATCAATAAGAGTCCACTGAGACAAGATTCCATATTTAGAACACCATATAACGACAAGAAATATGTAGAGCACATTAACCAGTATGTTAGATAATTATTTATTTGTATATAAACCTGATGCAATCATCGCAACGCGTAGTCATCTTTTTAAATATAATCAATATTGATTAAGTCATGTGTTAAAAGTCAATTGTTTGTTCTTTGGCTAAATCGAAGGGCGGGGGTGCGGGGTGTAAAAATGCAATGAAAAAGTGAACTCACACTAGCAGCAAGCAACGTACGATCATGCCGTACCTTCTCCATCTCGTTGACCTTCTGGACGCGGCCGTCCAATTCTCTCCTGATGGCTGCGGCCTGCTCGTCGGCCGAATCCAACAGGAGGGCATTGAACAATATTTGATGCTCGAACTTCTTCACGCCAAGTATCTGCTGGAACATATCGTAGAGCTGTTCCTTCGACAGTATGAGCTCGGAATTGAGCGACTGCTGCTGCATGCGCGAGGGCCGCTTGTTGTCCTCGTCGCCCGTGCCCTTGAATATACAGTCGAATTTGGCTAGCCACGAGGCGAGCACCGTCTCCTTGCTCAGACCGTCGATTTCCGGGAGGCTCCGAACACGCTTCTCGATGTTATTCCTGAATACCTCGCGGAAGTCGTGCTGCGAGCAAGCACCGCTTTGCACCATGCGCACCACCCGCTCCGACTTGAGGAACACGTCAAAGTAGTTCTGGATGGCGTTGTGGAAGGCCTCGTCGGCGATTATCTGCGTCTCGCCTTTCAGGAAGCTCTGCAAACCCATCGATTCATTACATAATATCCGATCGTCTCGCTCGAATTACTTCCGATGTGTGTGTGTGTGTGTGTGTGTGTATGAATGGACGTGTAGACGTGTGTGTTGCTAAGTATTGACGTCTGTCACGAGCTACTAAATATTTAAACTTTTCAAGGATCCGGCTATATGTCAGCCGGCCCGGGATAAGTAAATCGATCGACAGAAGCGTGAGACAGAGACGCTATTGGATCGCTGCCCGAAGCCTTTGAGACGTATGAGTATTTGTACTAAAATAACTGGAAAAAGAGCAAAGACAACTCGAGTTTAAACGAGTGAGAAAAAGAGTGCACATGGAGAATCAGCGCGGAAGCTCACTCGGAGACTCTCAATAGATATAATTTTTTTTTTTTTTAAATTATCCGACCGAGAGCAATTTTCGCATATTTTTCTCCAAGCAAAAAGTACAATTCTTAAGTTCAAGATTATTTTTAGATTTAACATCAATTAACATTACATCGAAGGTTTCGAATAATAATCATATGTTTAAGGGTCCAAAAATAAGAAATAATTTTTTAAATAAGTAACAATTAATCTACAGTGTATATAAAGAAACTTTTTTACTTGTAATGACAATAAAATTAACTGCATCACGAATTTTTTCGCCTTAGTTCATGAAAACATGTATTTCATGAATAAAGTGAAGCATTCTGTGTGATATAGTGTTTGTTTAGTGTAGTTTTTTTATACTGTTCTGATGATAAAATTATTAACTAATTCGAGACAAATAATTATAAATATGTATTTTGCCAATTGAAAATACAATTTAAGAAAACAACGAATTATTGAATAATAGACCTTTTTTTTATTATTAGGACTCATCCATTTGTGGAGTAAATTGTCAAAATATATTCATTGGAAAATAAAAGTTTATTAAAAGGTTTTTTTTAAGCTACCGCAAACTTTATACTAAAGAAACACACTTCATTTACATTAGTAAAAAATGTACCCGCATTGAAACGAGATAATCTTTCATGTTTGCGTTGAAGGGTACATGTACTTTTTTGTGTGCATGTATAGTTATGTGATGTACCTGAAAGCGAGAGCAGAGGGTCTCCAGCTGCTGTTTCGTGATCTTCATCTGTCGCCTCGTCATGTCCGTTGGCTGTTTGGCATTGAATGGATACGCGATACACCTCGAAATGAACACATAGAGCTGTAGGCGTGTTTTGCGCTCTTCTTCTTCTCGTTCCTGTTTTTCCTGAAAGCCAAAGCAACCAAAAAATCAACCCTTTGTCTCAAATGTGAGAGAAAAAAATCGATTGCCGTTGTGTTGTACGAAAATAGACGTCGGCTATAAGCTTCTTATAAGATGTAAGGGCAATGTGAAGGTAGATAAGCTAATCAATAAATTATCTTGATGCTATTTTTTCTGCTAACGTAGACTTTTATGTCGCGACTACTGACTCTATTCGCCAAGAGTGACGTAAGTCCCGACTACTTCGTTCCGCTACACATTCGGTAGATTAATTCTCCGTGCATTATTACAATTTTTTCTTTTTACGAAGCTACGAGTCAACTTCATCAGATTATTCATCTAGAACTTTTCTTTTTTGTAGCCGCAGAAATTGTAATGATATGCAAAACGAGAAAGTAAACAACATTTTTATAAAATTTTTTAATAAAATTTATACCTTCCGGACTGGAAAATTCAATGTAAACTTTTGAACGTATTGAAAAATGTTGATGCCAAGAAAGCTTCAAACGAAGCTCCAGTTTGAAAAAAGGCTTAACCATCCGATAGAAAAAAAAGCAATTGATAAACTCACCGCAAGCTCTTGCTCGGTCTGGGGCTCGTCTGCCACGGACGGCGAGGGGCTACCCGGCCTCTCTCGCTTGGACGAGTACGACGAGACGTCCTGGTGGGCGCTGCTAGCCGGCGAGAGCGAGCTCCTGCCGGGATGTCTGCGGTTCGGCACATCGAGACCGGCCCCAGCCTGATCGTCGTAATCGACGCCAGACGCCGAGGCTCCGGTCTTGGCGCCAGCGCTGAGGCCGAGGGCCCTGGTGCCGGGTACGAAGGCCCCGCCTGGGGAGCCTCCCGCCCCCGGGCCGCTAAAACTGCCTCCGGGCCCGACCCTGTGACCCCCGGCCCCGGCGCCACCGGCTATACCCCCGGCAGGACCTGCACCCCCGCCTATCGGCTGGTAGCGAGCCGCCGCCGGTCCCGGGGCTGCGACCGCCGGCCTACCTCGACCACGACCTCCTCGTCCTCGTGTTCCCTGATCGTCGTCGCTCTCCTCTTCCGACGAGCTTGGATCGATCATGTTGTTTCGATGCTAGCTTTTAAAAGCTTAACTCTTGACTTTCAAGAGATGATCCCTTTCCTGCCGTTCTATCGCTAAATATCACCTGATTAGGCGTTAAGCTGCGTGTGCTGTGGTCCTTGTCTTGTTTAACCACTCGCAAGACCCCGAGGCAACGGGGTTAATCAATATCACCGTTGCAACTGTAGAGCCGTCGTTTTGGCTGCCGTTGGACCGTCCGAGCACTGATGCTCGGGATCGGCTCAATTCTTTATTAACTTGTTTGTTTCGATCCTTTTTCGAATGTCAAACGGTTATAGTTTTGGACCTAAAAAAATATTGATTATTGTGTTTTTGACCTATAGTATGATGTTCATTTTAGAAAAATGTTATCTATCTATAATTTCCGTGTGAAATATTAAATTTTCAAGCTCACTCTTATTAATATTAAATAGACTTTTACATGCAATGGATACATAAACCAGTAATAAAAGCCCCTACAAGTCTTATCTTTGATGTGCTGTTTTTTTAAAATATGATGGTTTGCTTCAGATTTATCACAAGATCGATTGTGCAAACAAGCAAAATGAATTTTTTATCAAATCTTTTTTCATATTTTTTCGATACGAAAAATTCAAAATAGCTTAATTGACAAATTTAGATGTATAAATAGAAAAGTAATCTGTCGACTCTTAAATCTAGTATTGAGTTTTTTTTCATGTTTGTTGATTTTGTCGTCGATATAACGTCACATTATTGGAACGTGCACTTTTATAGTCTACCATTGGAAGAGATTTGGGCTATTGTAACTCGACCGAAAAAATGTTATAGGTCAAATCAAGTATAAGATCCAATACACAGTTCTAAGGCTAATCTTTCTTTTCTGAAAAGATCATTGAAATCTCGAATTGCTTCTGTTACATAGTTTCGCTTGTAGGTCGTAATTTTTTAGCCAATAATTCACGGCTGTGGTTATCAGAAATTCGAAATACAGTTTTAATTAAAGATTGAAGACAGTAATTTTTCAAGCAATAACTCAGAGATATCTACAGATTTTCCATTCAATATTGGTTTAAATTGTATTCATTTTTAATTACTATTTTCTTGTGACATTCGGGAAAGAGAAAACAAATTTGTAGATATTCAATTTTTAATTTGTAAAACAAAACATCGTATTTTTTCTTTTATTTTACACTTGTACAAAAATTGAAGTGAAATTTACAAAATAAAGGCGAAACATTTTCTTTGCTAATCAAGCACTTGTGCACATAACACCAAGGAGTTTTGAGAGCTTACACAATTATCGAATTCTTCGATGATAATGTTTGCTCGATGTTTGAGATTAGCCGCAGCGATTGTATAAGCAATGAAAATTTCAATCTATCGCAGGGGTGCGGTAAACATCTCATCGTAGCGTTAATCTTTGCTGCCGTGATCATAATCATATACGCGTACTGTCGACGAATTTAATTTAAATTATAAAGTACATTTTTGCATCTTTCATCAGAGAATCTATGTATTTAAGTCTGGATTGATGTAACAAAAAACTACATATCGTATATTTTTTCAAGTTTCACAAATGTTGGAAAATTTTACAGAATGCACACACGAAGGCTGAATGTAGAAACTCGACGGTTCATTTGTATTTTATCGTAATCTCCTTGGCTCGCACGCCACAAATACGTGTGTGTGTATGTGTGTGTAATGTGTATGTATGAGCTTACGTGTAGGTGCGTGACGAGGCAAATTAATCGATATAAATACTATGCACGCACACTTTGTAACCCGCCTCTAGTACACACCAAGAGTTAATTAGCCACTGCGCGTTATAATGTCAGGCCTATGGCCTTTTTTCGGGTCACTATATCTATTTTCCTATTGTGTATAAGTGGACGAGTCTAGTTTGCCTTAAACTCAAAAAGTCACTCGAGTCATTTTTATTTTGTCTGAATGTCCATACAATGAATGTAAATGTTTGAATCCACAGTTGGCGAGCGAAACATTATCAAAAGCTCATTTTCATCTAGCTGCACGTAGGATTGAAAATATGTATAGAGGCTCACTTTTTTGTTGCTCAGCTGCAGTACGTGTATTATAGTAATAAATATGCATTAAGGTTACTCGCTACACCTAACTTGAGTGAGTTTCAAAGGGCCTGTCGAGATATCAAACTGCACTACACGAGTTCCAACGTTAGAGCGTTGATGTTTCCCTAAGCTCGCGCATGTACTGTTTACTGTACTTAATATCGTTTTCCACGTTATGTATCGTTTTGCACTGTTCGATCAATTGGATTTACAAAATCTCTGGCACAATTACAGCTTGAATGTATTACACTTTGCAAACTAAACATGTCCGTTGAGAAGCAATTCCATTCCTAATTACATATTATTTAGGTAAAATAGCTGTCACTCGTACACTCATGTCGCACATGTATTGCCTCTACGAGGCGATCTGTAAATCAATCAAGGCTCAAATGACAATGTACAGTGTTTTTCTAGGGGGGACAGAAATTTTGCTAAACAGCGCACTTACTGATTAAAAACTTTGAAAAGCCCCACTGCTTTTCTTATAGGGCACAATGTAGGGTCGAGCTGCCTCCGCCAGTACCCCCACTTGTACTCGCAATTCTGTATCGAGGAACCTCACACGCGACGACAACTCTATTTTCAATGCAAAGGATGTATCAATGCGTATACAAGCCCTCGTTAAAACTTTATCGTGCAATTTCGAGAAAATTAGTTTACTCGTCCCGCGCCACTTGCATATGCAAGTTATATTATACTATATGCGATGAATTGCTTTATGCCATACCGATGCTTACGCTCCGTAGCGATACACGCCGCTAGTGAATTATTACAACTGATGAAGTTTATGGATTTTATTTTTTAGAACAATTTGTACATATTATTTACTCCAGCGATTATTAATTATTGTTCAACGATTATACATCAGTGAATATGATACTTGCGAATAGAAAAAGATGAATGAACCAAACAAGAGCTATATAACTTATCCAGACGAAAGCGTTAGTTACATCAGATGATGCAATGCGCTATCGTCCTGAAATTTGTTAACAGTTGATTCATAAGACTTTTACGAGTGACCAGCTAAGCAAGAGAAAATATCGAAACTACAACTAATGGCCGATGACTATACGAATTCATACAAGGCAGCGAGGTTTTAAAAAATATATAAATCGTATGCGCTGTTCTTGTGATGCATATCTCGAAAAATTGTACTCTCCCAAACAGTTTATTGGAATCCCTACTTGCAGATTATAGTTTGAGGCCGCACACATTATTTTTGCTATATAATGTAGTCTTTGTCACAATAACTTGGCAGCACCTTGAGTATCGTAGCACCAATGCGTGAATATAGATTTTTAATGAAAAAAATAACGCTTCCACACACACACGCACGCACGCACGCGCGTCATTGGGAAAAAAATTTTTTGAGAAAACTAGAGCGGATGCTGTGTGTCGCGACCTGCAACAGCAGCAGGCAGTGCATTCAAAGGTCGCCGCGTAGCGAGAGAGAAAGTGCTGATGTGTCTCTGTGTGTTTTTTATTCGAGTTTTTATACTTCTGACGCGAGAACAAGAAGAGATGACAATTCAACGACTAGCGCGTAGTAATGATGTGTGAGCTACATATATATTCATACACGCATTGGAGAGTTTCGAGATGCTAGATGAAGATGTGCTACTTTTTTTAATTTCAAAAATTTTCGATTGGTCGATGTCGTGGCATGTGCATATTAAAGCGCTCGTGCATTATAATACGCTGCACATCATTGAGTGAAAATGACAGTTTTTTAATTTCGAGTATCCGCTGGATTTAAATTTATCACTGAATTATTCACGCGTTAATTTAAAGGTGACGTCAAAAGACTCGAGAAAGACTGGTACTCTTTGAATTTTCTTCAACCTACGAGCTCTTTTAAAATTCACAAACTAAAGGACGGCGTATTTTAATAAAATAGATAGCAATAAAAGAAAAAAGGAAAGAGCAACATGACTTTTAACATGAACTCGGATGGAAAATGAACTAGTGAAAGCGAAGCATTTAGCAGTACGCGTTAGCAATGTACGATTGGTTTATCAAAAGCACATTGTCGTCGCGTCGTCGCGTGTTACTGAGCCACAGACGCGCATTATATATACCTAAATATACGTGTTAAAAGGATTAAGCTATCGGCGCAATGCGTCTGAGTGCGTGCGCGCTCGCTTACGGTATAATGCGCGCGAATAACATTCCTTTTATCGAGCGTTCATTACTGATAGGAAATCTAGGCCAAGTCCTAAAACGTCGAAAAAGAAAAAATTAACTCCGACCCAAGGTTGCGGATGCGTTAATACATACACGCGTGCACATACACACACACACATCCAAGTACAATTTCATAATGGCTTTCGTCGTGAAAATTTGCCGTCGCGCGTATGTACATTGAACATGTCGAGAAGATAAATCGCTCGTAAACGAAAGTAATTACACCCTTGAGAATACGATTCATGTTTTGTGTTGTTTCTTCAAAAAAATGACAAAAAAGTAGGGAGTAAAAGATATAGCATACGCATTGATTGCTTTCCGCATCCGACTATGCTATGCTAGAGAACAAAGCATGACGACACACAAAAGTAGCGATCACGAAAAATTAAATAAAAAAGTTACGTTCTACGAAATGTGAATAGCATCAGCAACGGTGACGTAATAAATGGCTTTATCAAAAAAAAATGAAAGAGTCCGAGTTGACTCGAGCTCGATTTAAATCTTTAACGGGTCAAGTTGGTTTCTTCTCCATTGCAGCTCGTGCGATGCATTAAATGCTTTTTTTAGCTT